GGGGGACTGGGGTGCAGGGGGGAGCAGGGTGCAGGGGGAGATGGGTGCCCAGGGAACTGGGGTGCAGGTGGAGATGGGTGCCCAGGGGAGCAGGGTGCAGGGGGAGATGGGTGCACAGGGACTGCGTGCTCAGGGGAGCGGGGTGCGGGAGCGGGGTGCATGGGGAACGAGGTGCTCGGGGGAGCTGGGTGCAGCGGGGAGCAGGGTGCAGGGGGAGCGGGGTGCACAGAGGATCAAGGCCCCCGAGCAGGGCGCACCCATCTCCCCTGGAGAGAGGGGCTGCCCCTCGGCCCCGCGGCAGCCCAGGCTGCGGGCACAGCCGCACCGGGGACACCCCAAGCCATTTCCACGGCCGGGGGCTCCCCAGCACCCCCCACCCCACCGCTGCAGCCTCATCCCCGGTCTCGCAGCACGTGGGTGCAGGTCCCCCGACCTGCTATGGGGTTAATGCCGCAGGCGGCTCTCGGTTGTTTACTTCCTCGGCTTGTACTGAATAAATGAGCAAATCTGGGTTATGGCATGAAATAATTGTCACCGAAAAAGGGCCTGGAGACAGGGAGGCTCCCTCAAGCGTGACAGGACGGGCGCCGGCAGCCGGGGACGGGGGATTTGCGGGGTGACATGGGTGACATTTCTTCCTTGCTGCTGCGGGCGAGAAAAAAAAAGGGGTGAAACGTTGCGTTTTGGGGGGCAGCCAGCCCCAAACTCACCGGCTCTGGAAAAACCACTTTGGTCTGGGGTTAAAATACTAAAGGCTCCCAGGGCTGCGACGGTGTCCCCCGGGTGGGAAGGTCCCCGTCCCTGCTGCCGCGGTCGCTCATGGCCGAGCTGGGTTTTCCCGTTCTCCCCGGGACCCCGATGCGCCCGGTTTCGCACATGTGCCCCAAAAACGTGAGGCTTTTGTGCCAGAAATGGATCCCGGCCAGGTCTCGTCCCAAGGGCGCCGGGCCGGTCGGCGCTTCGGGGATGCCAGGAGCCCATCCGCTGCTGGCGGCAGCTGGGAGGTGGGTGCCACCCACGATGAAGTGGCTCCGGGGACACTGGCGTGTCCCCTCGAGGGCGGCGAAGGAGAAGGGACCGGCCCGGGGGGCTTTGGAGGATTGGGGACGCGTCGCTGCCGCGCCTGACGCCTCCCGCCCCGGCAGGAGCATGTCCGGTGTCACCAGGAGATCCACGTGGTGATGGGCAACGAGGCCTGTGACCTGGACTCCACCGTCTCGGCCCTGGCCCTGGCTTATTTCTTGGCGAAGGTGAGGCTCGCCCGCTGGCTTGGGGACAAACGGTAGCTTGGGGGACGCCTCACCGGGTGTCACCCGCCCCCGACACAGACCTCCCCGGCTCCGAAAGCAGCCTTCATCCCGGTGCTGAACATCCCTCGCGCTGAATTCGCCCTCCGGACGGAGACAACGTTCCTGCTGGGGGAGCAGGGCATCCCCGCCGCCTCCCTCATCTTTCGGGACGAGATCGACCTGGGGGGGCTGCACCGCGCCGGGCTGCTCTCCCTGACGCTGGTCGATCACCACGTCCTGCCTGGGTGAGCCGGGGGGGGAACATGGGGACAACCCGGGCCACCCACGCGAAGCCTCGCTTTTTCCTTGCTTGATTTTGGCCCAGGGTGGGTAAAACCTTTCCCTTTCTGGGGCGTCTTTAGGGTAGGAGGAGAGGAACAAAGGGGGTTTCCAGGCTCTGCTGGGGGTGACCCATCGCGGCTGCAACCGCAGGGCTGTGCCGGGGGTCTCACCCTCCCCGTCTCACCCGCCAGCGCCGATGCAGCCCTGGAAGAGGCTGTGGTGGAGGTCCTCGATCACCGGCCATTGGAACGGGACCGAGCTCCCGGCTGTCAGGTGACAGCAGAGCCGGTGGGCTCCTGCGCCACGCTGGTGACAGAGCGGATCGCCCAAGGTCCCCCAGGCGTGCTGGACAGACCCACGGCCGCGCTGTTGCACGGTGAGGACGGGCGGCCCTCGCTGAGCCCCATCCGAGGGGGACGGTGACGACTGATGGCCCCCGGTTATCCCCCCCAGGCACCATCCTCCTGGACTGCGTGAACCTGAGCCCGGCGGCCGGCAAGGTGACGCCCAGGGACGTGGCGTGTGTCTCCCTGCTCGAGGCGAGGTTCCCCGAGCTGCCGGCCCGCGACACCATCTTTGAAGCCCTGCAAGCGGCCAAGTTTGACGTCTCGGGTCCGCGTGCTGGGGCGGTGGCATCCGGGGGGTCTGGCTGGGAGCGGGTCCTGGGACAGACCCCTCTCCTTGGGGACAAGGACGCGTCCCTGGGGCTCACGCTCGGCCCCTCTCGTCTCCCAGGGCTGACGACGGAGCAGATGCTGCGGAAGGACCTCAAAGTCCTCTCTGGCGATGAGCTGCTCCTTGCCGTCAGCGCTATCTACGTGGACCTGGAGGTGAGGCTCAGCTGGGGGGGAAACTGAGGCAGGGGTGGCACTATGGGGACAGTGGGGTGACGCCAGCGTCTCTCCCCGTCCAGACCTTCCTGCGCCGGCCCGGCTTGCTGCAGGACCTGGATGCTTTCTGCCAAGCTCAGGGCTACGCGGGGCTGGTGGCCATGATGATCTCTTTTAATGAGCACAATGAGCCCTCCCGGCAGCTCGCGGTCTACAGCCGGTGCGAGACCCTCCGGAGTGCGGTGAGTGGAGAGGGCTGGGCACCCCAAAACCTCAGCACGGGGGTCTGGGGCAGTTCTCAGCTGCGGCGCTCAGGCTCACCCCGAAAGCCCCTGATTTTGGAGGTGCTGGGGGGGTCCCAAGCCGCCACGCTCCCTCCCTTGCAGGTGTGCCAGGCGCTGGCGGCGGCGCTGTCCCTGCACCTCCTGCCTCTCCCGAGCCCCTGGTCTTGACCTACGCCCAGGGCAATGCTTTGGCATCGCGGAAGAAGGTCCTGCCCGTTGCCCGTGGGTCTTGTGTGAGCACCTACGCCCAGGGCAATGCTTTGGCATCGCGGAAGAAGGTCCTGCCCGTCCTGCGGGCAGCCCTGGGGGGGCCGGGCGCTGCCAGGGGGCCGGAGGAGGAGGTGGTCCTGCCGCCCACCCCGATGAACAGCCTGGTGGAGGAATGCCCGCTGGCACAGGCCGTCCCCCCCCTCTGCCCCCAAAAAAAGGATGTCCTGGAGCGGGTCAGCCGCATCGCCGCTGGGCAGCCCCCCGGCTCCCCAAAATAAGAGCGGGTGCCCGGCGGCTTTTGGGGTCCATACAAGGAGGTGGGGTCCCTGGGCAGGTCCTGATGGGGTGCCCAGGCGCTGGGGGGTTGCAGCCGCCTTCGTTAGAGCTCGCCTTCCTTCGTTAGAGCTCGGCTCCCTGACGGGGATAGGTCCTCGTTGCAATTTGCCCCCCGACGGGCTCCCCCCGCCCCGACGGCCCCACTGGGGTTTGGTCCCCCAGGGTGGGTTTTCGGGGACCCCGCGGGCAGTGGGACTGGGGCAGCACACGCACCCACTTAATGAAGGCACTTGGGGGGGTTGACGAGTTCTTGCCGTTCTTCCTCCCTTGGGGGGGCTGTGGGGGGCCCCGGCTGGTGGGTCCGGATGCGCAGCTGGCCCACGACTGTCACCCACGTGCTCCGAGGATTAAATTTCCCTCTTTTCTTCCACTTTTGGCTCTCGACTTTTCTTCCGCGACAGATCTGCGCTGCCCTGCTCACCCCGGGGGTGCCCAGCGTGGCCCCCACCCTCCCCACAGGCATCCTGGGGGGCGAACCCCCTCTCTTCCTGGGGTGCAGCCCCCCTGCAAATACCCCCCCCCCGGGTCAGAGGAGGGTTTCAGGGGCCAATAGCATGGACGGGGAGGGGGGGGCTCAGTGCGGCCGAACCCCCAAATCCGGCCCCGCTGGGAGGAAACCGGTTGTGCCGTGACGAGCTGTGGCCTCTGCCGGCTGCGAATGCGGCCAAACCAGTTTGGATGAGCCACCAGTGCCGTCACCAAAGCCCTTCACCCCGGAGAGGTGAGCGGCCCCAGTGCCGGGAGTCTCTGGGGTCTCGTAGAGGGTTGAGCAGGGCTGCGATGGGGGTCCCCGGGGAGCGTTTGAGCCGTCTCCTTGTGGCCGGGCGCACCCGTTTGCATCTGCTTTCGGTTTGGAAATGGGGCGGGAAAGGTGGGAAATGGGGGCAGTTTGGTGTGGAGCTGCTGGGGGATGTGAGAGCCCCGGGGGCGGGGGCTGGTCCCCGAGCTGGGGCTGGCATCTCTCTCTGCAGGTGACGAGGATGGCTGCGGTGACAGCCACCAGGGACGGCCTGGACCTGCATGAGGAGTGGCAGGACGAGGACTTCCCCGGGTAAGGGGGCAATGGGAGCGGTACCCCCAAACCCACTCTGCCCCCTGGGGTCCTGCTGACCCCCTCGCCCTGTCCCCGTCAGGCCCCTGCCGGAGGAGTGCCCGGGGGCTGGGGGTGCCCCACGGCGCATGCGGAGGCGGCTGCCGGCGCTGGAGCAGACCGAGAGCGCCGAGCGCTCGCCCGACGCCAGCATCGACCTCGACCTGGATGCGCTGGAGACGCCCTCGGGCAGCGACGGCTTCGAGTGGGAGGGTGAGACCCGGCCAGGGTGGGGGTACAGGGGACCCCCAGGTTCCTGCCCCCCA